TCATAAATAATAGAAGGAAGAAAACGCTGACTATATTTATTGTCAATTTTCTTTCAAGGAGTGTATTAAATTTCCGCAAATTTTGAGAAAGAAAAAATATTTTTACTTCACCGCAAAAAGTTATTTTACGTTTCTTCAAAATAATATATGGCTATCATTGAACCTTAGCATTACATTTCATAACAAAGACAATCTATAAGACACTCTGTGTGGAGAATATGCAAAATATACAGGATTGAATATACATGTATTAGGAACTGGGTAAAAATTGATACCTGAACAGACAGGTAAGACGTCCCCGGTGGCGGATTTAAAAGTAACTTTCATACGAGCATATAGAACGTATTACTTCTGTATTACTGTATATTGTTACAGAAAGGGTATCATTTGTAATGTATGTGTAAAAGGTACAGTTTGTTTTTAAGCTTTGCCGTCTTTAGCAATAACCTTTAACAGTAAACTGAAATACACCTATCAGATCGTGTTATTCTTTAGCAGTTCTTCATTAGCCTTTTACAGACATCAGCCCTACCATAAGAAAGACAGTGCAAAACAAAGTAAAAAGAATAAACACAAATCTTAATGGTTGCATACAATAAAGAACATTTTTATGTACCATAAAAATATTGAAACATTTTTAAATAATTGCTATTAATAAAAATATCAGTAAAGTAATTGAAAATTTTCATATCATACTTTTTCTACCAATCACAAAAGAAAGGAATTGCATAGTCCGAAGACTGCAAAATACTTTTAACTCTGTATACCGTCTTCCACGGAAGACGGTAAAAAGTAAGAATTGATATTTTATGCACTGTCATATTACATGGAACTGTCGTCTTTTCATTTTTATGTAGTGCCACAGAGAGCTATTTTTTCAGCATGATATATTTTATCATGTATTTTGTACTGTGTTTCTAGTATTTAAGTAATAAATATAATTAATTTATATACATTTCAACCTGTGTGCCAGTGATGCAGCTAACTTATTTGTGGAGTCATAATACTTTTTTTTTCCGAAATCCTAAAAAGTATTTGCTGAATGGCAAATTATTTTTCCCCAGTGAGGAAGTATCAATTTACGGAAATGTCGTGTACTACTTTCACAAAATGGAGAATTTATGGCAGAAAACGGTCAAATGAGGAGAGTTTAACTTAAATTGTTAAGAAGTTGAAGACCAGTCTTTTTACTCAAATTCGTTCAGAGTTCAAAGAGGCATTGAAAGTTTGCAGTTGTCATAATCTTTACATATATTCTCCTCTGCTTAATTAAGTAAACGCAATAGTACATGTAATAAATTTTAGAAAAAAAAATATGAATAAAGATTTCACCTCTATACTGTGCTTTTTTATTTATTTAAGGACTGGACTGCAACTATCTTGCATCCCCCACAAAAGCAGAGAAACCCCAGATGGAGATTACCTTTGATCTTCTACAAGAGCCATACAACAACACATTTATTCAGCAAGAATCGGTTAAACTATTTTCCATGACAGATGACGATTTTGTCTTGTAAAGTTTGGGTAGGAATTTTCTTGAGTTGCTTCTCAAACGAAGAATCAAGTGCCTTACAAAACAAAATTCTTAAGGATTACAAAAACATTACTTCTGTTTAAGGAGTCCATTTTATTGATGTTTTCCATATTCCACCAAGTTTCTGGGAAAAACAATACTTTGTATATGATTTTATGCTTAATCTTGAACAAAACAACAAAAAATTCAATTGCATATTCCATATTGAAGTTGAACAACCATTGACCTTTTGCATTTTTTAAAAAAAATAAGAAGTTAAAGACCCTATTTTTTATCGTACGGTTACCTGAGGAGGGGGAGTGGTCTTGGTAGTATTGGTGTTATTTACCTGGAGAGCCCCAATACTCAAGATGTCAAAAATCCCTATACACGCTGCATTACACAGGAAGTCTGGCTTTTGGTAGTCAGGGTCAACATTACGCGTTTTGTGCATAATTTGGGGTGAAAATATTTAAAATAAATTATACTGAATTATAAAATTTGTAGACTTTCGTCGATACCTTTTGAAGAAAAAAAAATAAAAAAAAACATCTCTTTATTTTAAATCGTAAATTTAAAATAAACGGGTGAAAACTACAAAGCAATCATCAATATTTTAATCGGCAATAAAAGAAATTGTTATAAAATATTAAATGTGAATATTGAAATAAAAAGATTCCACTTACTGTGTGGATATTTACCACGATCGGAATATTATTTACTTTTCTGACGAACAATGGTGTCCAAATATTCGCGATTTCCGAGGGTCCGTTTTCTTATGCCCTGTTTTACAGATTTGGATATAAAAAGAATATTTCGTAATTCACGGCGCTAGATACAAGATATTTTATTTATATTAGTATAAATATCTTTTCTTATTTAATCCATTGCTTTTTGTTATAATTTTCAATGGGGGATTGTTGATTGTTTCCAATTACGGCGAGTTGAGTTTCTGATCTGGACGATTTCCAAATATGGAAGTCAAGAACGATAACTGAAAGTCGCTATAAATATACATCATATATTTGGAAATCGCCCAGACCTGCTTAATGCTGAAAAGTATTTTTTCAGGATCAGACGTTTAATTTTTTGTGGAGAACAAAAGAATATTACGTTGTAAATTTTGTATATACTTCAACCCAATATATTCAAAATCTTTATAAAGACAAGTATAAAGAAAATCTGTTACTGAATTGACACTAGTATATACTTGTAAATTTAGAAAGAAAATAACTCTTGTATATTTCGTTACATTATATAATAATCATTGTATCTGTGCAGTTTTTAAGTTTCATTACAGGTTGTATGATTTTTTTTACTTGACATGAATATATTATATTGTGTACTCAAATACTTTTCGAGATTACAGTCCACTGGTACGTTTGGGTAATCCTGTAGAGAGACACTGAAATTTGTCATCCTTATTGTTCACATTAGTATTTACAAAAGCAAAACATAGCATCGATTCCTTAAGCAAAATTTCCTTTTGTGTAAATCGCAGTTGGTTTGGTGGAGTGTTGTCGCGAAATCTGCGGTAAATTTGTTATTTAGATATGAAAAAAATTCTAAGTTTTAATTTTAAATTCTAAATCTTAATAGTGTGTCATATTGTCTACCAGCCTTGTTGTTCATTATTTTAACATAAGTAGAATACGCCGAACGAAATTGTATCAGTTTGTACTGGACCCAGCTGACAAAGCAGGTAACAACATTGTCTTTGCATGCAATGCTCATTATTACAATTGCACTTTAGAGGAACTTTTATTCTACAAACGGTAATCCATCTTAAAGTTCCTTTTCTAAGGAGGAAATCCTTCAAAATCATGTCAAATTTAAATAGTTCTAATATTTCTAACAACCAAATTGAATTTGAATTATCATACCTATATTGGATTCCTAATAAACATCCTTGCAAACAAAGGGTTCTAGTAAATGTTCTACCAAGCCTCTTTCTTTACTCTTCACGAAAACATTAACAGCAGTGAAGGAGAAACTTCCGGAGTACTGTACAACAACATATTCTAACAGATGTGGATACTTAAAAACTCCGAGGAATTTCTACAAAAATTTAAAGTCACAGAATTTGACCAAAATCAATAGCAACAAAACGTACGACTTTCCAACAATTTATACAATCATTCCCCATGATGATTTAAAGACCAGACATTTGAATCATAGACAGCTGCTACTTAATAAAAATAGAACTCGTAAATATACTTACCTTGTCCACTGGTCATCTGCAAACTTACTTTATTAAAAAAAATATTCTGATTCTGCTCTTAAGTATTCCCAGGTTAATATTAAAAAGATGCTAAAGATTCCCCTTGACAATATGTATGTAGTTTTCGAAGACCATATCTTCTTACAATTTGTTGAATTTCCCATGGGAAATAATTGTGCCCTTTAATTAGCAGACTTGTTTTTGTATTCATATGAACCTGAATTTATTCCAAAACGTCTATATGAAAAGAATAAGAATTTTCTTGTTGTGGTCTTCAATTCGTCATTTAGATTTATGTATATCGACGACGTTTTATCAAATAACAATATAAAGTTTCATTCCTGGGTGATTCGATATATCTATTTAACACGAAATAAAATACGACACAGAGTAACACTTCCGTTTCATATCTGGGTGTTTTACTTGCGATAGACATTTATGGCAAACTGAGAACTTATCTTTATGATAAATGTGATGAATTCAACCTCTCTGTCTTCAACTTCCTTTATTCATGTAGTTCATGTCGTTTTCAACGACATACTGTAGATTGGCAAATAATCACGATGGTTTTAATTTCAATATAGAGTTTATCAGTTGATTTAATATGGAAAAGTTCTACGAACGAGTAATCTCTTAAACGAGACAAATAAGTTGATAATACAAGAATATCATAAATCTCGTTTAAAATCAACATTTAGCAAATTGTATGGTAGATACCATGACCTTGTTTTGCAAACACGATCTGTCGTTGAGTCGAATGCTGAATGAAATCTTTCATACATTATTTTTCGGTTTACCCGATCATGACAACAAGGAGCACATGACTGGGGATGCTTACTCCTCCATGGCACCTGATCTCATCTCTGTTTCCAGAGGTCCGTGTTGGCTCTGCTCATAATTTGTATTGATTAAATGGACTTTTGAGAATGATCACTGTTCATTATCTTCACATTTCATTTTAATGAATTGGTAAAATAACATATCGGTTCTTGAAAACAAGAATTGTGAACAATTTACGTAAAAATATGGACCCCAATGTGGACCATTCTGGCCCTTAAAGTCATAATTGAATATGATTTGCTATTACTCATGGGGGGGGGGGGGGGGTGTCAAGATTAATTCTAGTTTTGGCTCTAGCGTTGAGTTTACAGACAACAGCAAAAAACAAACATTGAATACACTTGGACCAAAAAGAACCTTTCGCTGAGGATAGCTTATTAAAATGACGAAACATATACAATTATAAATAAAATATTTGTACTTTATTTGATAAAACAAACGTCACCGGTTCAAACAGAAGCATCTAGTATAGCACCAATAGTCAATTTCCAGCCTCTTCTTTATCATTCACGATGGCTTAACCTCACTCGAATAAAGCAATGATTAAATGGAAAGATTACAAAGTTAGTCTTTGAAAATGTTTCACTTAATCAAAGACAGCTACTCTCAATATACAGTATAATTATGGAGCACAATTTTGTTTGAGTTAACATGGGTAAGGTCATACATTGGAAACTGAAGTCGTTGGTGGAGTTTGTGGAGCATTTGGTGAGCAAAGTCGTTTATACAAAACCGAGTTAAAGATGAAAAATATGACTGGATTCGCTGCACTATTCAATGGACTTAAACTTTGAAAGAAAACCATCATGGCAAGGACAGTCTGGGATGGAGTCAAATATCCGAATGTCTGTAAAATGTTGAAAATCCAATATGGTGACCAGCAAAGTATAAAAGCTGTAAATAATAAGACATAAAATTAACAATCAAATAACAGGGCAACAGAAAGGATATTTTACATGTACAACTTTGATTTAGAATACATGTAATTTTAAAAACAAGGAAATTGGCAAACTTGAACATAAACTTCTCTTGTACATTTTGGTCTTTTTCAAAAAAAGGGAAAGCTTGCTTTCTCAATCAGGGACATTAAAGAATATTTCACATTAAAATAAATTATGAATAACAGTTTATTTTATCAAAGTCTTGTGAGAGAAGACAACTCTTCATAAAATTCATTATAGCTTCGAGTGTTCAATATTAACACCAAGTTTTATGCAATTAAGAAATGAAATGTAAGAAGTGTTATGAAATTATTTTACAGATTTCTATTCGTATTAGCAGCAAAAATGCATCTCAAAATACAAAAAGTATCAGACATATCTTTTTGTTGTAAACATTATTATTATAACACATTCAAAGTTTTATTCAACCAAACATGATTTTAATAGGAAAACTAATATGAAATGAATTTAAAGTTGATAACATTAAATAGTGGCTATATTTTTTTGAATATTTCAAACTTATCCTGCATTCTATATTTGTTCCAGATTTTATTCAAACTTGACAGAAAAAAACAACAGGCAACTTTTAAATGCATCAACTCTTAAATTTAAAATGTCTCTTCAAAACGTAAAAATCTTACCTAAAACTATAACAAAGGTCATTTTGACGGTTTTAATCTTGGCCTTTGGTATTAATCCTCTAGAACTAGAATCACATGTTTTCTTCCAATGTACTCTTCTTTGTCGAGGGGGCTTCAGCAATGTTTTCTCTTCAGAAAAACTATCTACAAAATGATTTAACATTTCTTTCTATTATTTACTCAGTATAAATAATTTACTTCTATGTAAGGTAATTTATCACTCAGATGATATTAATAACATGTAATATCTGGGAAGAACCAACCAATACCTGCATCAAAATTCGTTAGATTTAATCTACGGTATAGGGGTCCTGAAAATGAGCCCTAGTTTTACAACAACAAAAAATGATATTCTTATATATTTTAGGTTGATTGTATCGAAATAAACCTTCACCAGTAATAAATATTTACAATCATTAGCCACTGACGCTTTTGACAGTTACTTAAAAGTGTAACTTGATAAAATTTGAGTCCCTTCCTATTATTGTTTTCTTGGATTTTCTCTAAAGACCTCCGGCTATCAAGTACAAAGTTATCAGTACATATTCACGTCACAGAAAGGGGGAGTATTGAGATATGAAGTAATGTACCTGCATATTTGAAATTCAAGTTTTTCATCTTTAAAATCAAAGAAGCAGAAAACAAAACTAAGGATTGACTTACTGATCCTCGCAACATTTTTTGGCATTTTGCGAGTTTCAATACCGAAAATCGACGTCACTTATGGTGTTGATAAACCTTACATGCATAGCTTTGTAATTGTAATTATGAAACATAGTGTTACCGGTATACCTTTAGTAATCACCGTCGATAATTCCATACACGAATGATCAGTTTTAGTTTTAGAAGAAGAGATGGTAAACGAAGATTTTCTCCAGACGATTGTCACTATGGAAACGTAACACAGCGCTATTATCAAAGCTGGTATGAACAGGACAGCCACAGCCACCAGAATAATGTATAACTGAAAAGTAGTGATTAAGTTAATAAGTCACATATGTACCAAGGAAGATAATGGGTATCTTCTGTAAAACACAAACAAAAAGAATGCAGGGGATAAACGAAGAAAAATACAGTTATTGATGTAATGAGGAAAAGATTGGAAGCAAACTACGACTTTTCCTCAATTTCTCACCAAATTCAAAGAAAATGACATAGATTTCACTTACTATTCACATTTACATGTACATGTAATAGACTCGAAACTTTCAAAAAACCACTCTGCATGCATGGGCATTTAAGCTGATCTTAGGAGTTTTCAGTACTTTGATTCAGTTTAGTTTATACAAATAGTTTGGATAGATGGACAAGATTTTGTTCAACTAGGTGTACTGTTCATCTGGGGCAACCTTTTACAAGTAGATGATAATACATTCATTCTTAATTTTGTTTTATGGTAATTTACTAGTTAACATATAAATGCACGAACGGTTAGAATTAATTTATCTAGAAAAGATGTTTAAGAGCTTCCATGTTTAATCAGTGCGAAAATTTACCAGGATATATCCCCCGTATTCAGCTAAATGAATCGTGAACTAAAGAATGAGACGGTACAAGATCGGATAAAACAAATTAACTTATACATCGGCTTACTTTCCACATCCATTGTTCTGGAAATTGAAGGTAACATTGCTGTTTGGAATGAATTTTGACATCCTCATACATAAACATTGGTGAAGAAAATAGCAAGGAGAAAGCCCACTGTAGTCCAATGAGGAGGCGGATCCTGAACCCTGAAAGAAGGAATTCTATCGTTTCTCAAATGGTTATAGATGTTGGTTCAAATAAGATATTTTCCGTGAGATCATATAATAGGTGAACATGACTTTTATAAAGTTAGTTTCGTCTGCATTCAACAAAGTACTGGAGCTTTAAAATTGTTTCTGAATTAATATGCAGGTCATCATTTAATTGATGTCCTTGCAGAAACTGGAAAATGTCCGAAACAAAACTAAAATCAAAATCATGTTTAAAAATGTCTGCACACTGATATGGCATTTTAAGTTTTCAAATATATTTTTCACAGAAGACAAAGTTACATATTTTGCAATTTACCCAATAACTCAGAAATTGAAATAAAAATGTATATCTACAAAAGTAATCCATAAGACACTGGTAGTAACTGTAGGAAGTGAGGCACTGCATTATTTAATGTCCCCTTCAATTCTCCGATATAAAAAGCAGGGGCCCGTTTCACAAAAAAAAAATCCACTAAGACCAAAAACTTAAGTTGATTGTAAAATTTTGCAAAATTAATGATTCTGTTTAAAATTGCTGGCGTAAAAATATCTTACTACATTCCCTTTAAAAAGATTAAAACCATTTTAAATATAATGTAAATTAGGAAGTTACAAACAGTCTTGGTCTTAGTCGTAAGTTCTTTTTAAAATGGGTCCCAGTATAAATTCCCCATTAACAGAACAGATTCATATGTTATTTCCTTAAAACTTTATTCTTACATGCCTAGAGGATGAACGTTGCATCGAAAAACCAATTATCAAATCTCCTTTAAGACCTGTCCGGATTCTTACTTTCTAAAGACATAAAGTATTACGATCTATTACAATATAATTATTTCTTACAATCTCTTACAGTCTGGTTAGAATACTAGTTTGAGAAATCTTGTGTGGGCAGATAAATATACAGACAATGAGAAATCATGATATCCCATAGCCTCTGTTGGTGGAGGCAGTGTGTCACTTGAGAACTGTGCTGACAATTCAGGAACAATTATCAGTTTTTTTAAATTGTCATTAAAGTTATGATATTCTACAACCGAATACCATTGACAGTAATGGAGTTTTTCTAATCTATAACAAAAGAAATAACCTTTTCCCATGGTTTGAAGCGGTCTTGCCACGCAGTCAAGTCTGTCAATACTAAGCGCCACCAGAGCATAAGTAGATCCATATGACGCCACTCCATGGTAGAATTTAACTGTTTTACACAAGACATCACCACCATGCCAGTCCACGAAGAACTTGTCTAGGACATCGATTAGGACAGAAAAACCTACCAGTACATCTGAATAATGAAATGTAACATTCTTTTTTCTAAAAGTGATAGTTACAATATCTATACTATTTCCACTTATTATACTTTAACAATTTGACTATTCGGAAAAGTAATATTAACCAAAATTATCAGTCTGCAACCAATCATTATAATAAATACATGTAAACTTATTAAAGTACGTAATATTTTCATCTACAGTATTATTTTACTTTAAGAGTATATGTCATATAAATAGAAATAGCAATTAATTTAATTATTTTTGATGACTCCTAATCTTTGATTTTTAAACTTGAAGGTTTATTTCGAACAAAAATAGACGAAGATGAGGATATACTTTCAAAGAAAAAGCCTTCGGGAATTGTATAATGAATAAACTTCACTTTTGATCCTCTGCATCCAGCCAAAAGCTCGAATATCAGAGACTCTAATATTTGAACTCCTGAAGATTACTCTGAGAAAATTATAGCCTTGGGCAATGACTACTGTCAAATTAATGAATTCTTACTTTTAACTAGAGCTATTTTAACTTTTCATTATCCTCTTTTTAGATCACTATAGATTTTTCAATAAACTGCTCTTTCAGTGAAAATTTCAGGAACGCTTATACATGGATCTAAAATATATGAATCTTTGTAAAAGATTGATTCTATGCCCTTTCGAAACTAAGTATCGTGAATTAAGGAACTATTACAATGGAAATAACTTATTATATATTTTTCTAAAGGATTTAATGCACTTTTTAAAAAATCTTAGAAATGTTATCAAAATCAGAGGAAATGAAATGAGAAAAACCTACTCATAATAAGCTTGTTTAAATATTTTCTAAATTAAGATATGCAAGCTTTATAAAATCCACAATATCCGAAGTTTAATTTACATCAAATTCATCGTGTCTTTCAAGATATGAAAGGCATTGTGTCACCTATATACATGAATGGCTGTAAATATAATACATAGGTAGGAATAATAACCTGCTAAAGCCAAGTTTGCCATGAAAATATTCATTCTTGATCTTAGCTTTCTGGTCCGGATAATGACAACGAGAACCATGATGTTTCCACTTAAGATGAAAAGAAAAAGGATGCACAGGAATACTCTCTGTTCTGTCTGGAAATAATTAAAAGATAAGTTTATAGTGATATTAGTAATATTTTTTTTCATAAATAAGTGATCAATTTGTAGTGATACATTCCAAGATATTTATTAAGATTTAGCATCCCTCTGCTCCCTCATACAAATTTTTCCTTAAAGGTTATGATTTTCCAATAGAAATCTAAATTTTAATTAAAATACACACAATTTCGTCATACCTTGTGGGGCATGCGCAATATTTGACACGAGTGGCCTTTTAACTCTATAATTTATCAAGAAATAATAGTCATTTATCTTTCTGAGTTGTCCCTCTTATCAGAGTATCAATGAACCTTAATATGAAATCATTGCTTCTTTTTCACTTTTTATTTGAATTCTTTCTTCCTCATTTATTTTAGCTTCTGAATTGATCTGGAAGATATATGGTTTGGTACTTGAACTGTTAATCTCTATGTAAACTGAAGACAGAAAACACTAAGAAAGCAAAGATTAATATAATAGATCCTAGTTCTGTCAACTGACGTTCTAATAAATCTAAAAGTCTGCTGGAAATTCCGTCTAGAATGGATGAATAGCCAATGAAGAAACACAATTTGAACATGTCTGATAAGAATCGGTATAAATGATCATCACTTTTTGTGTCTATTATTGCGAAAGTCCCCATCCTTCTAATTCACAGCTAGCAAGATATTACTATGCCAATAGATAATTCATTTGATTGAAGAGTCGTAAAATAACTGTAAATTGTCATCAATTTCGCTGCATTGATGAGGATTTTAGACAGATAATTTCCCAGAAAAGGGATGATTTGACGATTTTTCTTACAGAATTTTAATAAAATTGGGTTAATTTATAGAACGAACAATATTGGGCCTTGACTACAAATCTCATTAGAAATGATGCATTAGTATATAACAAGGTTCTAATGTTGTAAAATAAAATTGTTTCAGGTTAACATTGAACCAACTATTATAGGTTTCGAAGGGAACCTTTTTATCCTCAATTCCTTTTAAATCGGACCCTTGGAGTCGATTCCCTTTTTAATGAAATATGAAGATAAGGAACCGTATTCAATCTCGAAAATCCAATGAAACGATACAAATTTGAAGCAGAGCAAACACGGACCTCAAAATGTAGAGGTGGGATCAGGTGCCATCCCCTGCCGACCGGTCACACCCGCCATGTGCTCCTTGTCATGATCGGGAAAAAACGGAAAAATCCGTAGACAGTTTAGATAATAAATAATGGTCTAATAATATCTATGAAAAACATCAGTCAGCATTTGACTCAATGATAGGTTGTATGTGCTGACAAGGTCATTGTATCGACCGTAAAACATGCGAAAAGATGACTTCAGACGAGATTGTTGATATCCTTTCTTTCATCAACTTGTTTGTCAGTAGCTTGTCTCGTTTTAGAAATTGTTCATACGTAGAGCATGCTCTTGCGTATCGAAGCAACTGAGAGACATAAACCCCATATGCAGGTGTTAAGGGTATATTGCTACATAAGTAAGGGAAGTTGACGATTGAAAAATTGAAGTCATCACGTTTATAATAAAGCTTTGTTGTTAGGTTACAATTAACGTCTTTTTCTAGTAAAATATCTAAATAGGAAACAGATGTGTCAGAATCTGTGGTACCCTTGGAGTTTGAATTATACAATACATACATTAATCTAAAATGCTACATTAATATATTGTAAATATTAGTAACTTGTTTTAAACCGTCAAATTGACCCATCATTAAATCTTAATATGATTATCATATATAATTTTCATAGATTATTCTATGATCATGACAAAAACATATCATTCTATATAGCAAACCATGAATCACACAAAATTATGACAACTATTTGCAAAACTTTCGTAGCATAACTGATTATTCCAAATGCTTATAAGGAGACGTATATCAATTTTCTTTGTGAGTGACCAATATTGATATACAAGAAACATTGTATTAATTTTTTTTTCGTATAATTTTACCACTACATGTAGATCAACTATCTGTGATAGATAGCCATTTCTATTAAAGAGCTCACGGAAAAGTGATCAACTAAATATACTTAATATTTATGTATTTTACCAAGGTTTATAAATACTCGTATATCATATTTTATAGTAGCTTAAAATGTGAGTTAAAGTGTAAGTTAAATGTACTTAAAGTTATAGACACATCTTAGTAAGCAAGATATATCACTGCTTTTATGACAGTCCTGGTGTTTCGATCAATGAAGACCTCATTAATGAAAGAACTTATGTCTGAACTTAATTGCAAATGCTTTTTATACAAAGATTTTTGTTTTCAAACGAATACCTTAGGAACTGATTTTCCTTTCTTGGAGAAGATTTATACAATGTACTGCTGTTTCTTTGTAAATAAAAAAATTGACTGAGCTGCTATGGGATCAATACAATGCAGTCCAAATGGTTCGATTACCATATCAAATAACACACATGTTGAAAGTCTTAAGTCTGTCGCTCAGATTTATTCTGATTAGTCATGGCTACGTTTTAATGCCAGAAAAAATGAAGAAATAACACCTTTCTAACAATATTAATACAATTGGGTATACGCTGAATTTTGTCAGGAATTTTAATTGTGTCGCTTGCAGAAATTTTTTGCTGAAAAAATTACATTTATCATACTAAAAAGTTTAAAATTCATACGACGACCTTCCGGTTTATTATTCCTTTCAATACATTGGGTTCAATCAAAATATTTTAAAAATAATGAGATTAAGATAATCGAATAGTTCCTTAAATATTTTTATCTATATCATATAAAAGATGTCCTGCACCAACTATATCAAACTCTCCAGTTTCGAGTTCAGTGTTTCTGAAAAATGTAGAGCTTATTTTAAAAGCCTACTGTCTTTGTTTTGAACGTAACCAATTGTATCAATATCGCAAGGCAATTGATAAAATGTATATCTTCTTTGTAGGGTAGCGATGACTAATCAAAATAAAAACGACATCCTTAATTTTAAATATCTACCAAAGAAGGTTGACATATTCAGTAAACTTCCTCTTTGAGACACGACTTTTTTTTAAAGACAATGATTAAAGTAAGGCCTTGGACAACAGCACACTGAATTTTGAATAAATTACATCCAAGGCTTCCAAAATTATGATATAGATAGGATTTTGTGACAGACAGATTGACAGATAGACAATTATGCCAACACCAATATGTCTTTTTCCCATGGGGAAGACATGATGAGTCAGTCAGTCTTAGATGTTCAGCAGTGATTGACTCAGTGCACCTAAATGAATATAAAAATGTGTCTCAGTTAAACTAGCACTTTCAATCATAAGGAATATTCTGATTACTTACAAGCTTTAGAAGATTTCATACCAAACTTAATCCGTGATTTCAATATTTTAATTTACATACAAAATTACTAAGGCATAAGTCAACTGCACAAATTGTGCTTTTCGTATTCTACTGTGTATTCATATGAAGCAGAATGTATTTAAAAACTTATACATGAGAAGAAGAAGACACTTACTGTGATCTTCAACTCGACATTCAGATATATCGACGACGGATTATCAATTAACAATATTTACTTCCATTCATATGTGGACTCGATATATTCCAGTGAACTTAAAATAAAAGATATTTGGATATTTTACTAGAAAAAGACGTTAATGGTAACCAAACATCACAACTTTCTGATAAATGAGATGACTTTAACTTTTCTATCGTCAACTTCATTTACTTATATAGCAATATATCCTTATCACCTGCATATGGGGTTTATATCTCCCAGTTGATGCAATGCGCAAGAGCATGCTCCACGTAGGAACGATTTCTAAAACGAGGCAAGTTTTTGACAAACAAGTTGATGAAACAAGAATATCAACAGTCTCGTTTAAAATCATCTTTTCGCAAGTTCTATGGTCGGTACAATGATTTTGCCAGCAAATAAAATCTATCATTAGGTGAAATGCTGATTCACATTTTTCGTACTTATTGTTACATGTAGGCCATCATTATTTACACAATGAATTATCTGCGGATTTTTCCGAGAGTGACCATTCGGCAGGGGATACTCACTTCTCCATGGCACCTGATCCCACCTAAGATGTTTTAGAGGTCCGTGTTTGCTCTGCACCTGATTATGTTGTTTGAATGGACTTTTTAGCTTGAATACTATTCGTTATCTCCATATTTCATTCAACATTCGGTGACCTCTGATAGAACAGAAAAGATGACCTCTTGTATCCGTATTGATATACCACACTGGGTGACCTTTCGCACTGATGTACAATATTAGGTACATTGTGATAGGTAACGATATACAACATAGGTGACCTCTGGTCTCCGTATTTGATATACATGTACCACATAAGGTGTCCTCTAGTCTCTTTGCAAAGGCTGACTTCTGGTTAAGGAGACCTCTGGTCGCCGTATCTATATACAATATTAGGTGACCTCTAGTCTCCGTATTCATGAACTGCATTCCGTGAGCTCTGTTCAACTTACAGAAGCTTATCTTTGGTTTAGGTGACATGTAGTCTCCGCGTTAATATACAAGTTAATATACAAGTTCCGTATTAAAATACCAAATAAAGTCACCTCTGTATTTCGATTCCACATCAAGTCCAACGCGCTACCGATTATGCCACATAGACCATTTCATTTTAATACCTACTATATAACCTATTGTATAGAACCTACAATTCCTAAATAGTTAGTCAGTGTTTGAAACTTGTTGCACCAGCCAGAATTATTACTACGCGAAATGAGGAATTATTTGCAAGACCTTTACTTGAGCATACGAATTATTCTGCATTTTTCATCGGAAGTTCAATCCGTGCATGTTTGGCTTTTTGTACATGTATAGATTAAAACGTAACCAATTTCAGATAGAGCCACCGATGTGGTACTATTTCTAAGGTATATTCTCAAATTATCAAAAATAATTTAATAAAACCAATGGATAATTATAGTTTAATAAATTAAAATTTTATCAATAACATTTAGATATGTTCTCGTATTTATCAAAAACTCATTTTTGCTGCGTGATAATTATGATATTGAAAATAGATATTACAGAACACGCAAGATGTGATTCTGTTCTTGCTGGCAGACGGTCGGGTTGACTTTGACACAATCTGATGTTAATCAGGCTATTGTCGACTCCATAAAACAGACAGTATTCTTCTGCCTCGGAACAATCAGCCAAATTAATGGTCAGTTTAGATCGATATATTGATATCCACACTACGAGTACAGTATAAGCATAAGTAGAACATTTCACAGGTTTGTCTTTTAGTCTGATATTTATTTTTTTTTTAAATATCTACAACACTAATGAAAGTTCTGCTTTTTTATCAAAGTAACTGTCTGTCAGTTATTGTATCTGCTTTCGTGAGTTTGTGAAGGAATTGATTTAGATTGGCAGCCACGATATTCACTTTAAACAGACATCACTTGTACGGTTAAGGTATAAACTGGGCTTATGAGAAGAAAAAGAAATGTCGAAATAGTACAACTTTAACCTCTAGATCTTTTTAAAAATCATCATTCTCAAACTATAAGAGCTAAGTTAAATGTATGGTCCAACGTCCGCAGAAAGGATGAGTGCACTTAAGCTATGAGAGTTGGGTCCCGGTGTTTTGCGCAGAATAAAATTCCGAAGTTCATAAACTTTATGTTTTATAGGTATTAAACAATGTCTTAAGAGCAGGTTTTGGTATATTATATTACATGAAAGTATTAAATAATGCCGAACGACACTAGCTTTTGAGACGGGGGTCTAACAGTTTTGTCACATTTCTATTGTTATTCATATGCATACCAGTTTTCAACGACATTGTTTACATCGAGCCGCAACTTGTCCATTGGTCTCATTTGCACAGAATGTGTATTTTAATTTAAACTTCAACATATCCAAAGGACAATGTTGGACAAATTGCGGCTCATATCTAATTTTTTGAAAAAGTCTCCAAACTACGGTCGAATTAGCCACTAAATTAACAGTTCACCGAGTGTCAACGATTGATATTATAATCACTTTACTCACGTGACATTCCACTGTTCGATACGCTAAGGCTTTCATTGAACATTTCATTGTGTTTGTCATTGAAAGTTTCTATTGTGACAGTATCTATCGTACTTCCAACTTCAAACTATGGAAGATTTTTGCGCAAATTTTAATAGGGTTTGAAGATTATATGTCTCTTATTTTACTTTGTATTTTTTCATTAGGGGTGTTTTGAAAGAATTCTGGTATTGACAGTGTGATTAGTAAGTACATGTACAGGCTCATGTCGCCTCTGTATAATGGTCTGCAGGGCGAGACATCTTCCCCATCCCTAAACACTAGAATCATTTATTATTTGTGCACCATGAAACTACACAATCTCTCTCTTCTCCATTTAAATTCGCAGTGCGAAAAAAAAAAATCATATGTGCTAATGTTTTGCGGATACCTTAAATACGAAAGTGGTCCCGTTCAAATTTCCGGAATTTAAGGCTTCTACATGTTCTTTTCAATGACATTGTCTGTAATTATAGAAATATGTATGACAACAAATTCAAGGAATAAATATCTAAAGAATATACTTGCACAATAATCATAGATTAATTAAGCGATATATTGTAATGTAAAGCTTAAAATGGGTAGCCGAAAAGGTTCCAAATGACGTACTAAAGTGCACTCATTCTTTAAACTGGTGTTTATAGAAAGTTTATTCCAGATAAAAAAAAAAAAATAACATTATTTTTTTATATTCTATTTTGGCTATTTATTCTCTCGTCATAAGCAAAGTTTTATTTACATGTATTATTGACTTACAAATTCTTAAAATATTACGTTTCAGATAAATTCTGTGTTGAGCTCACTAGTTTTAGTGTGCTCAGAATCCAGTGCAATTTATTCACATATTAATAATATTAGCAGTGCTTTGTTGAGTATTTTTATTCATCTTAAATTACATGCTATCTGACAATGTTTATGCCACCTAAATAAAATTCTACTTCATCACTGTCAAGGTCATTCCAGAACCACATGAGATAGCGCTAGCTTATCTGGCCTCAGTGTGCTGCTATCTTAGCTTCAGTGTGGGTGTGTTATTGAGTGTTGGATTAACGTAACAAAGTGAACTTGGATTTATTCTCAAATTATTATCTATTTAACATGGCTACTGGCCATGATATGTCTTCTGAAGATGCCCTACTGGGGCTTAATGATTCTTCAGAATCTACAAATACTAGTACTGCTAGTATTTTTGGAGCACTGGACAAACTACAGTCAACTATGAACTGTGTCAGTGCAGGAATCAACAAAATGGGTGATGCATTTGCTGTTTTAGCAGCAGCATCACGAGAACCTCCTAAATCTGAGAAAAGAAAACATGTAGAAACAGAGGAGGGGAGTGATGAAGAAAGTCAGGACGATGACTATGATGATGAAGACGATATTAAAAGTTTATTGAATGCATCAAGTGATAAGGGTAAAAATGCTTCCAAAAAGGAAGATGACCCAGGTAATTCAGTGTTAGATGACATTGAATTATCCATTGATGATGACGAGGATATTGGAGAGGAAATTTCAGAGAAACTTGCGGCAATAACAAATAAAGCTTTCTCGAAACAACTAGCATTTGACACTGTCAAGAACAAGAAGTCATCACACAAACGGCCTAAAAACTGTGACAAAGTTTATGTACCACGGGTTAATAAAGAAATTTGGAAGCAAATGCAAAAACAACCATTTACAAAGAAAAGAGACTTACGACTAATGAATGTACAAAGTGTCGTAACAAAGGCTACATTTGCAATTTTGCGAGTAGCTGATGGTTTACTCAAAAACAAAAACAATGACAACAATTATGACAATGAACTACGAAAGTGCATGGATGCAGTGTTCATGTTAGGACATGCAAATACTTGTGTAAGTATGCAAAGAAGAGAACTTCTTAAACCAGTCCTACGAAATGAATATTCTACACTGTGTGATGGGAATATCCCTGTTACGTCTCTCCTATTTGGAGATGATTTAGCAAAATCACTCAAAGAAGCAAGACAAGTTGGTAATGTTGGAAGAAGTTTTCAGCCAAAAAACGGGAAACGATTCTGGAATCGTCCGAGAAAAGACTTTGGTTGGAAGAACCGTGCAAACGAAGATGTGAGAAATCAGAAGAAATTCAAGAAAGCATAATAGAAAAACAAAGCCAACCATCGATTGAGGTAAGCTTAGAAATCAAGCATGATTTGCATAAGAATATTACTGAATTTGAAAAACAATTTTGTGATTTTATTCAAGATGCAATTGCAGAGGCTCAGAGAAATATTAAATATTTTGAAGGTGGTAGAATAAAGCATTTTTCAAATCAATGGAAAGAAATAACATCTGACAAAGAGATTTTAAGAATTGTCAATGGCATAGAATTAGAATTTAAATCGGGTCAGATACCAATACAAACCAAAATTCCTAAACAATGTCAATTTAAAGATGAGGAGAAAACAGCTATTGACACTGAAATAAATAAACTAGCAGCAAAAAAGATTGTAATTGAAAGTGAATATGAGCAGGATCAATTCATTTCGCCAATATTTCTTAGACCTAAAAAGAATGGCACATTCAGACTTATTTGTAATCTGAAAGAATTGAATGAATTTATAGTGTATAGGCATTTTAAGATGGAATCTTTGCAATCAGCATTACGCATGATTACAAAAGATTGTTATATGGCTTCTATTGATTTGAAGGATGCATATTACTGTATACCAATATCTGAAAAACATCAGAAATATATGAAGTTTATGTGGGATTCAAAATTATACATGTTTAATGCTTGTCCTATGGGGTTATGTATGAGTCCTCGTTTATTTACGAAAGTGCTTAAACCAATTTTTTCTTCTTTGAGGCAAAGTGGACATCAATCTGTTGTTTATATTGATGATACTTACTTACAAGGAGAAACTGTGGATATTTGTAACAAAAATGTAATGGCTACAATTGAAATGTTGTCAAAGTTTGGATTTGTTATAAACCCAGATAAATCAGTGTTTTATGCAACACAGAAATTAGAATTCTTAGGGTTTATTCTGAATTCAAAAGAAATGTTGGTAACATTGACAGAGCATAAAGTAGAAAAAATTGTATCAATTTGTTCTGAATTTTTGAAAGTACGGAATAAAACAATAAGAGATCTAAGTGTGTTGATTGGGAACTTAGTAGCAAGTTTTCCTGCAGTACCACATGGTCAATTATTTTACAGGCAGTTAGAGAATGAGAAAATAAACATGTTGAAAGCATCAAAGGGGAATTTTGATGCTCAAGTTACACTTTCTGGGTTAGCACTTAGCGATATCAACTGGTGGTTATGTAATATCCCTAAGGCTAAGGCACCAATAACCAGAGGTCAACCCGACATTGTAATTGAAACGGATGCGAGTCATTTGGGTTGGGGCTATAATTGCAAGACTCTGAAAATATCAGCAGGAGGTCCTTGGTTAGAAGGAGAAAATAAATTTCATATTAATGTGTTTGAGCTGAAAGCTGCTTATTTTGCCCTTTTATCTCTTTGCCGGGACAAGCATTATTCTCATGTGAAAATTTTGATTGACAACACTACAGCTGTGGCTTACATAAGAGAGCAGGGGGGCAGCAAATCTTTGCAATGTAATGAATTGGCCAGAAAAATATGGTTATGGGCTTATGATAAAAATATTTGGTTATCAGCTTCGCATATTCCAGGTAAAGCTAATTGTGATGCAGATTATGAAAGTAGGCATTTTCAAACCGAGCATGAATGGATGTTAGATAAAGAAGTTTTACAATTTGCTATTAAAAAATTGGGGTTTGAACCAGAATGCGATTTATTCGCTACTAGAGTCAATAAACAGTTTGAAAAATATGTATCTTGGAAGCCAGAACCCGAATCATTTGCCATTGATGCATTTTCTATTTCATGGACAGATATAAAATGTTACTGTTTTCCTCCTTTTAGTGTCCTACCAGCAGTATTACAAAAGATGTCAGTGGAAAGAGTAACAGGAATAGTTGTCTTACCAAATTGGCCAACTCAGCATTATTATTCAACAGTTATGAAAATGCTCATTGCACATCCGTTGTATGTTCACAAAAGAAAAACATTGTTGCAGATACCAAATTCCAAACAAATTCACAAGATATGGGAGAAGATAGATCTACTAATTTGCCTTTTATCAGGAGATCAGTTGAAAACAGACAATTTCCGGAAAATGTTACCAAAATACTTTTATCATCATGGAGATCATCTACATCTAAACAATACGAAAGTTATTTACGGAGATGGCAAGTTTTCTGTGGTGGACGGAAGATTAATCCGTTTTGTGCAAATTTGACAGACATTTTAGCTTTTCTTACGGAACTTTCGGAAAAAGGTGTGGGCTATTCTGGCATTAATACGGCTAAAAGTGCTCTTTCAAATACAGTTACTTTGGCTGATAATGAAAATGTGTTGATTGGTGAACATCCTGTTGTTAAAAGATTTTTAAAAGGCATATTCAATCAAAAACCTTCTTTACCACGATACACTGAAGTTTGGGATGTATCATTAGTGTTAAATTGGATGAAGAATATAGACCTAAATGGAATTTGTTTAAAATTGTTATCATGGAAACTGGTCATGTTACTTGCTCTTCTATCTGGACAGAGGATACAAACTTTAAAAAGTTTTTCAATTGACAGTTTGCAAATTACAGACAGTACGGCAACATTTCGAATACAAACATTGCTGAAACAAAGTCGACCGGGTTATCATTTACCAGCTGTGTCATTTTCATGTTATCAAGAAGATAGGAACTTGTGCATTATTTCACATTTAAGACAGTATATTAAAGAGACAGCAAATCTTAGAACTTCTGATCAACTTCTAATTAGTTATCAAAAACCGCATGCGGCGGTGTCATCTGACACCCTTGCGCGATGGTTAAGAAACGTTCTACAGCAGAGTGGCGTGGACACGTGTGTGTATTCTGCGCATAGTACAAGGGCTGCCTCCACGTCCGCTGCGGCCGCCATGGGGTGTCCTATTGACGATATTATGTCCCAAGTCGGTTGGTCAAATGCGAAAACATTTGCAAGATTTTATAATAAAGAAACTGTTAAAACATGCAAACAGTTAGATGTGAAAGTGTTAGAAACTTTACAAAATTAGTATTGTGTGAAGTAGTATATAGAACTTAGTGCATTTAGATAAACATTGGGAAATATGTTGTAACTTGTGTTGCATTTTTATTAGCAACTGAATATGCAATGGAATAAAATTAATTCATTATTTCTCTGCATTTTATTAAATGAAAGGTGCAGGGTTTATCAATAAGGATATCATTTAACAGCCTCAGAGCTTTAAATTCTCATGTGGTTCTGGAATGACCTTGACAGTGATGAAGTAGAATTGAAAATTAAACGAGACTTACCTGGAAGTTGAAGTTTGATTGTAATTCTACGAATCACTGGAAAGGAATGGAGGAATCACATGCCCGACCCAATATTTTATTTTCCCTACCCTTGTTCTTAATTTTTCTTCTTTTATCGGCTATTAAATGATTCTTTTTTAAACACTGAGGCCAGATAAGCTAGCGCTATCTCATGTGATTCCTCCATTCCTTTCCAGTGATTCGTAGAATTACAATCAAACTTCAACTTCCAGGTAAGTCTCGTTTAATTTTCAATTTAGTCATAACAATTACACTTCAAGTTTATATCTCGTCAAGTTGCAATAGATCTTTCATCGAGTCAATATCTTAATGGCTAAGATGACATCAATTCAAGTTAACATACATATTAAACATCTGATAGCTATCTCAAATTTTAGCAGAGACTGTGAAGATGCAAAATAAATTTTGGTCAAGCTAACGCTAATACTTTAGAGGAATGTTTCGGAATTTCTTTATCCAATTATAGTCTTACAATTCAGTAGTACTTGGGGATATTTAAAGTTTTAGGAAATTCAATTCAAGAAAGGAACAGAAACAGTCACTATTACAGTTCTAACTGTAATTTCCTCCCTGCCCTACATGCAACTCTCAACCCTTTCAATGTTTTTATTTTCATTACCACAAATCTGTTTTTTACTTTTCTTATTTACCTCAATAAATTGTGTTTTGTATGCAACATATTTCCCCTGTATATATATATATATATATATATATATATATATATATATATATATATATATATATATATATATATATATATATATATATATATATAAAATTATATATCTTTTGTTACTCTTGTTTTTGTTATATTCCTGTTATATATTTTCCCATATTTTTGTATGTATTTTTTATAATCTCATGATATATGGTCAAAATCTAAGTCATGCAACTGTAAATTTGAGAACCCAGTAATTTGCATTTCTGACGAATTAGTCAAAATTTTAGCAGCAACTGATTGCAGCCATTTACTTATAAACTACATGTATCACAAGATTGATAATGGGTAATTCAGTCGATTAATACCGAGCTGCAATCGGTCTATTTTATTTATCAAGTAGAGGCACATATAAAACATATTCATATTTGTTTTTTCCAGGTGTGAATATATTTCATTTATTCAGAAATATGCTCAAACAACTCGTTTGCGGCATGTCAGTCATTATTCAAAAATCTGTGTTTATTAATTTTTATTTACAATTTTTTACTTTTATTTTGTTGGTATGCGGGGATATTGAGGTCAATCCGGGTCCTTTTATGGAAAGTGTCCTTGACATACTACATCTTAATATCCGTAGCATTAGACACAAACTAGGCTATTTAAATTCTTTCGTTCATGACTTTGATATATTATGTTTTACCGAAACTCATTTGGACCAAACAGTTGTTAACGAGGACTTGCATTTGGACGGCTTTAGAACAATATTGCGAAAAGACAGAAA